TAAATAAATAAATAAATAAATAAAATGTTAAGGTTGCATCTACAAAAAAGAAAGAAAGAAGGAAAGAAAGAAAGAAAGAAAGAAAGAAAGAAAGAAAGAAAGAAAACACTGTAGGAAGGAATGACGCCATTGCATGAGAAATAACAGAGCCAAAGGAGCTTCTATCCAAATGGATCCAGCAGGAAACTTTCAGCTGTTTTCATTAGTGACCTGATGGAAACATCAAGCCAAGGGTCAGAGCTTTTGATGAGTAAATGTTGAAATTTAGGTGCAGATGGAAACTTAAGTGTTTTATTTATTTGCTCCACTGAATATTAAGAATGGATGAGCCACAGGGAAGAATTCAGAGCCATTAACTCAGCAGAACACTGTTTATTTATTGAACAATTATATTTTGAGCATCTGTGTAGTACCAGTTCCCATCTTTGGCGTTGCTTTCTAGCGCCAGAATCTTCCACGTGCCTCTGTAGGGCGAGCAGCCTTTTCTCACTCATCTCGGTGTCCCACGCAGTATCTGGTTGAGTGATTTGCACACACAGTAGGTGGGTTTGCATGATTCCACACCTTTTGCTCACACTGGTCCTACTACCTGAAATGCCTTCTATCCAGTCCCTTTGTCCCCCTTCAGCTGGACAATCACTACTTGAACCATGAGAGCCCCAGTAAAATCTCAGCTCCCCTGAGAAGTCATTTTCAACGGGCTGTGCGTGAGTTACTTTTTATTTGTTCCAGCAACACATCGTTTAGGTCTCTGATCAAACTCAATCCGTTGTTTTACGATTTGGAGTGTACGTATTTCTCTCTCTCACCAGCTTCATGGCTCCCTAAGGCCACGGAAACTTTCTTCTTTTTTGATGCCCTAGTGGCTGGAACCGAGTCTGCTACTCTATCCCCATAGCAGAACCCCATGCCGTTCTTTCAATCAGTACTAATTTATTTTCTTTCTCCTATTTTTCTTTTTTTCCTTAATTCTATATCTGGCCTCTGAGTTTATAAATATCCTCATCCTATGAAGAAAAAACAGAATCCTACATTGACTGTTCACATCCCTCTCTGGTGGAGAGGAAAGGAGCCTTGACTCCTGATTTTTTGATCTTTCCTTCTTTGCCAAGTACTCTCCACTCTCCGCCTCTATGTGTTCATGTCGCATTCACGCCTTAATCTCTTTCAATGAATATTCAGCTCCCATTGAAGCATTGAAAACCGTCACCACCTCTGTATTCTTAATTCCAATAGGGGTCTTGAGCCCTTATCTTGTTCAACTACTCATCCTGTAGCTTTTTGAAACTTGAGACCCTTCTCTTAAATATTTCTGCTCCTTTGGCTTTGTGGACATTATTCTCTGATAATTCTTGTTCTTCCCCTCCTCCTATAATCTACTTTATGGGATTCTTTTCTTCTTCCTCGTTCCTAAATAGGAGCATTGCTCTGTGTGTGTTTCCCACCACTCTTGTCTCACACGTATTCACTGGGAATTCTCATCCACTTCCAGAGCTCTAACCATCACTATTCATACTGACCTACAAGTTTCTACTCTTAGCCCTGGCCTCTCTGATGATTTGGAGTCGAGGATTCTATAGCCTACTGGAAATTCTGACTCGAATGTTCAAAAGACACCTCAAACTCAACAGATTCAACAGGGAATTTGCCCCCATCCATGGACATTTCTTTTTCATTATTCTTTATCATCATGCATGATATCATCATCAGTCTAATCATCCAACCAGACTTAGGAGACATCGTAGACATCTTTCTTTCTCCACCCCACCTGCCCAGTCATCAAATCTTGCTAATTTTGTCCCCCCATTTTTTAAAAACTGTCAAATAGAAGGAATCTTTTTTAGACCATCGCTAGCCTAGGCTACTGTGTTGGCCTCCTCAATTTTGTCCGTGTCTCTTCCTAAATCTGTTCACTGCCCCTACATTTGGAGTAATCCATCTAAAATGAAACTCTAACACAAAATGCTTCTGTTTAAAAGCCTTCAGAGGTTCCCTGTGGTCCCACAGGTCTAATCCTAGACCTTGATTTGTGAAGTCGATTCATTGAATAAATGCTGAGTTAGTGCCTTAGCATATGATTGGTTCCAGATCCTGGGTATACATGGGGGTGACGGGGAAGAATTTATGTCTTTAAGAAACTGCCAGTCATGTGAAAAGCTATGATTATGAAGCATGTGACCCCATTTAGCTCCTTTGCTTCATTTCCTGCCATTCTCTGCTTCAAAATTGCCACTGCAGTAGCTTTGAAATGTTTTAGATCTTATATCCACACCACACGCCATCATTCCTTTGTATGTTTCTCTCCTGGCTTGAAGTGTAGACCCCAGATGTGTCACCTCACGAATGTCTCTTGATCTCCTAAGGCTTGCTTAGATGTCCTCTCCAGGGAACATTCCTTGGACACCCCTTCTTGGGGGTCCAGACTCCACAGAATGTTGGGTATACCCTGACTTTGCCCTATGCCATTATACCCAAAATATTACCTGTTTCTTTGTCTATCTCCTACTGTGGACTGTGAGACCTAATTAAAATTGTAGGGATACTCAACAAATACTTATTGAATGTTACCAAACTGGCCCAGAAAAGACCTTCCAAAAATGTTAATTTCACATCCCTTTTTGAAAGATCTCCTGCAGAGACTGCTGATAATTTTGAGGGAACACTTAAAAGGCAGTTGCCTTGAATTTAGATCTTCATATCCTAAATGTGGCTCCAGATGAAATCTTTATGGAGGAAGGATACTTACTATACGTACTTATATTGTTAATTACAAACAAAAAAATAGTATTTCAAAAATGACACAAATAATGAGCCCACATATTTCAGTTTTTTCTCAGATTGCCATGGTCGTCCCTAGATTTCACATTTCTAGAAGTTTCACACCTCAACTTATCAGCTATTCTCTTTGTTAACGTCTTCACAGTTAATTTGTGGTTGTTGATGGTTGTCAAAACAAGAAAACTCCAACTTAAGGATGATGTAGTTTCTTAGTTTGGTGTGTTAAAGCACTGAGTCATAAAATTTAGTTAGATTTGGCTTGGATTGAAGTTTAATTCTGTCATTTTAAAATAATGTGACATTGGAAAAAGAATGACTTTTTTTAGAAGAGTCTCCGTTTTATTAGATACAAAATAGAAATACAGGAAAACCTTGGTTTGTGAGCTTAATTCGTTCTAGCAACATGCTTGTAATCCAAAGCATTTGTCAAAGCAAATTTCCCCATAAGAAATCATGGAAACTCAGAGGATTCATTCCACAACCCAAAGATATTCATATAAAAATGACTGCAGGGACGCCTGGGTGGCTCAGTCGGTTAAGCGTCCAACTTCAGCTCAGGTCATGATCTCGCGGTTTGTGAGTTCGAGCCCCGCATCGGGCTCTGCGCTGCTGGCCCAGAGCCTGGAGCCTGCTTTAGATTCTGTGTCTCCCCCTGCTCACGCTCTGTGTCTCTGTCTCTCAATAATAATAAACGTTAAAAAAAAAAACTTTTTAAAATGATTGCAATGCTATAATAGAATACAAAATAATAAAGAAAACACAAAATATAAAGAAAACTAAACAAGTTAACCTGCACTTACCTTTTTGCAAACCTTCGTGGCATGTTTTTTTTTCAAGTTATGTCCCACGTTGTTTCTGCTCACTCTTCCTCACACACAGTTTTAGTTCGGTATTGAACGTGTCCGGGTCAGTATATTACAACAAATAAATTACATTTTATTTAAGGGGGAGACGTCGCTCTTTCCCCAGACTGTCCTGTCTTTCCCTGGCTTATGACTGCGCTGTATCTCCTCCATCTGTCTGACCTTGATCACAGCTTCTTTTGGATACAAGGTTGGGTCAAGAACGGACAGATAAAAAGAAAGCAAGTCTTCCTCGACGAGTACCTTGGCAAAGACTTAGCGTGACTGCTTCTGGCAGGGTGAGTGCTAACGTTTTTTCCGTGCGGCGTTTTGGGGGCACATCTGGAGCTTCCCTTCTTCTCTGGGCTCTCTTACTTGTGATTCTCAATGAAGAAAAATGCATCTCTTTTCAGCTCCTTACTGACCAGTACGGGACCCTTGGTAAATGGCTGGGAGAGTCCAGTTTCCTTTTACCCGAGATCCCCTTTCCCTCCAGGTGGGATCTGGGGCAACCCCTCTTCCTGAGGCTTTCTTTTGCACGTGGCTCACCTCTGCGCCACGGGGAGCACGTGTTGCACGTGAGCGAGGCAGTCGCTCTCCAAACTGCAACCCCTACCCCTTCACCGGGTTTCAGCCTATCTTTCTTTAAGATTCTTTTTTTAGATGTCTCCGGTGTGAGTCAGACACCAATCAGCCGTACCCCCCCAGGCTCCCGGGAACATTGATCCTGTTCTTTGAGCGATCGTGTTGAAGGGTGAGGTGAGGGGCTACTACCCGTCTCTTCCCCTGTTTGGGGGTTGGCAGGAGCACTTCCAACACTGCCAGGTCTCACTCAAGCACCACTCCTGATCCCATCATGCCGCCATGTGGGTGAGCGGTCAAGAATCTCAGAAGGTGTAGTTTGGCTACCTTTTTTTTTAGGACCTGTATAGTGGACGTATCCCTCTCTTTAGAATATAGTCTCTATTGTCTGGGGCTCCAGCTGAAGCTGAGGCCCAAAAAGCTGCATTTGAAATCCCATTTCATCCTTATCTGATCCCTAAGAGATGCTGATCCTCCCGGTGTTGCCCACGTTTTACAGATGGGGACACTGAGGCACAGGGCAGGAGGTTATTGCGTGTTCACGGTCCCTCGGCTCTGTAGGCAGCGATCTGGTGACAAGTCTCATCCAGAGGTCCAGGTTTAGAAGTTGAACCCTGGGGGCTCCTGGGTGGCTCCGTCGGTTAAGCATCCAACTTGGCTCAGGTCAGGATCTCAAGGTCTGTGCGTTCGAGCCCCGTGTCGGGCTCTGTGCGGACAGCTCGGAGCCTGGAGCCTGCTTCAGATTCTGTGTCTCCCTCTCTCTCTCTCTCCCACTCCCTTGCTCACACTGTCTCTGTGGCTCTCTCAAAAATACATAAACATTAAAAAAAAATAAAAAAGTTGAAATCTGAATGAGGTTATCAGGTTGACCTAGGGTTAGCAGGCAAACACTGCGGGTGACCTCAGGTCCTCAGGGGCCTCAAGGATGGAGGCTTAGGGGGTTGGGGCTGCTCCCTTCTCCTCTCTGGCCCAGAATGCGGGCGTGGCCCAGCAGTCCAAGCGCAGGGCTCTGGAGGAGGAGCTTGGTGACCCTCCTCTCCTGGGAGACCCTTGTGTGTCTCTGTCCTGCCTGTGCTCCTCAGATGTAAATAATTTACGCTGGCAACGATTAGAGAGTGTGCTCTGTGTGGGATGAACCCGGTTCCCTTAATAACACTGCAGGCTTATATATAGCACAGTTCAGCCAAGGGCCCACGTGCTCTCCAGGCCACAGCCCGCATCAGCTGCCCCACATCCACCGGGGCACCCAGCGGGAGCGGGCCTGTGACTCACGCAAGGTCACGGGAGGTCAAGGGCAGTGCTCGGAATAGAACCAGCCTCTCTTTCACAGGCTCTAAACCCCAGTGGCCGGAAGCTCCCTTCATGAATATTGGAAAAAAACAGCAGTCCTCCAAATCATGGTAGTAGATATCCAGGGCTGTCTCTAGTAAGTGAGGATTGGAGGTTTAGTCCTTGAACACGGGAGTTTTTACTTGTAATGTATTTATTGTAATGTATTTATTGTAATGTATTATTAAGAATTAATGTATTCTTTTTTTTTTATTTTTTTTTAACATTTTATTTATTTTTGAGACAGGGAGAGACAGGGGAGGGGCAGAGAGAGGGGGAGACACAGAATCTGAAACAGGCTCCAGGCTCTGAGCTGTCAGCACAGAGCCCGACGCGGGGCTTGAACTCACGGACCACGAGATTGTGACCTGAGCCGAAGTCGGCCGCTTAACCGACTGAGTCACCCAGGCGCCCCTATTGTCTGTTTCTTTAGTGATTTTGGCAGGGGGGGCAAGTGCACTGTGGCTCAGCCAGTGGTAGGACAGACAGTCAAGTGGATTCTCCAGATGTTGATAAAGACAGGGGGATTGATGAATGACCCTCCTGGGCAGCGTCGTAGAGCCGAAAAGGCTCATTTTAGCCCCACACCATCCAATAAAAGTCCAGCACCATCTGTGTGTGTAGTTTTAAAGTTTTAGCAGCCAGGGGCCCCTGGTGGCTCAGTCAGTTAGGCGTCCGACTTTGGCTCAGGTTATGAGTTCATGGTTCAGGAGTTTGAGCCCCACATCGGGCTCTGTGCTGACAGCCCGGAACCTGGAACCTGCTTCGGATTCTGTGTCTCCCTCTCTCTCTGCCCCTCTCCTGCTCATGCTCTGTCTCACTTTATCTCTCAAAAAGGAATAAACGTTAAAAGAAATTAAAGTTTTGGCAGCCACACTCAAACGATGAAAAAGAAACAGGTGAAAAAAATTTAAAGAATACATTTTAATAACCCAGCCTGGCCAAAATAGTACTATTTCAACATGTAACCAATATAAATATTAGTGAGATATTGTACCACATTTTTTTATTCCTGCTGGGTCTTGAAATCCTGCGGGTGTGTATTTCATACTAACAGCACATCTCGATTTGGGCTAGCGATCTGGATTTCAAATGCTTCCCAGCCACGTGTGGTCAGTGACTCCCAAATCGGACGGCGAGGCCTGCAGTTCCAGCCATGCCCTTTGCCAGCTTTGTGGTACTGAGCCGCCTCCCTAACTTTCCCAAACCTCAGGTTCCCCGCCCTCTGTGTGTAACGTGGAGACCATAAGTTGTTACTGTATTGCCACGAGGTCACGTGTGGAAAGCGGCTCTGTGGTTTCTAGGACATAGTAAATGCTCAATTAATACGCGGTTCCTCCCGCAGCTAAACTGCAGGAGACTGAACAATGGGTTGGCCTCTGACTACTCCCTTGCTCCTCCCTTCCATGGACATTTCTTTTTCTCTGAGCCATCTGCACCCCTCACCCCTTCCCTTCCGTCAGGTGTCCGCTCAAAAACCGCTTTCCCGGAGGAGCTTTTCCTGAACACCACGTGTTTCGGGGAACAGCCTCGCTCCCAGTCCCCTTTATCTGCTTTGATTTTCTTTAGAGGTCTGTTCACCATCGCACATGGAGGTTCTGCCTCTGTGTTCACTCGTCCCAGCCCAGCGGAGAATACGTCCCCTGAGGGCCCTCGCTACTGCTCTGCTCCTTTCATTGGATTTCCAGCTAAATATGTTAATGGATGAGTGAACGAATTCTTGAACATCTATAGTTCTTTGCTCTTAGTATACGTATAGCACGGAATTGGGATATGCAGCTCTTTCTTGGTGAGGGCAGGGGGGAGAGGGAGAGAGAGAGAGAGACAGACACACCCACACCCACACGCACGCACACACACACGCGCACACACACACGCGCACACACATACACACACACAGATAAAACCTCATAGGACGTGTTCTCACTGAAGTCCCTGCCACCCTGTGTGCTAACATGGGCACACGCCCCTCACTCTGCCCTCTCCCACCCTCCTACCCCCCCAAGGCTTGTTTGATGTTACTTGCTCTGCTAGAATCTCCTTTTCTCCGTCTCCGCTTAATAAAACCTTACGTGTGGGGCCCCCGAGTGGCTCAGTCGATTAAGCTTCCGACTTCAGCTGAGGTCATGATCTCCTGGTTCATGAGTTCAAGCCTCACATAGGGCTCTCTGCTGTTGGCACAGAGCCTGCTTCAGGTCCTCTGTCCCCTCTCTCTCTGCCTCTCTCTCTCTCTCTCTCTCTCTCTCTCTCTAAATAAACTTAAAAAAATAAAACAAAACAAAACCAAACCCCAAAACCTTGCATGCTATTTAAGGACCTGCTCAAATACCGCCTGTTCTGTAGGATCCTTCCAAATCGCTGTGTTGGAAACAATGCCTGTATCATCTATTTCTCCACCGAATATTTTTTGTTTGTTGTAGTTTTCATGACAGCCTATTTTATATTAAAATTCCTCTTGCGTGGGTATGATACCACCTCCCTTCATATGTTGAATCCCTAGAGGGTAGGACCTAATTTCAGCTGATGTGTGGTAAGGCTGGGGGATGTCGTGGAAACTATAAAGACTTTATACAAGGATATACATGGCTTAGGATCTTGAATCTAACACTCAGACGTTGTGAACTTAGGAGTCATCCAATGTCTGCAAGCCGCAAGGTTATCATCTGTTAAATGGGCAGTTGTACACATCTCATGAAGAAACCTTTATTAACATCTAGCCTGTACTGGGTACATTCGCTGCCACCAAGGGTACAGACTGCTTTAGACCCAACTATACAGTAGATGCTCAATAAATATCAGTCCCAGACCCTACTATTATCTTGGGCCTCTAGTACAGTTGGTACTATTTGGGGTCTGTTCCCATGAGTCCTAGCGTCTTCATGATATGACATGTCTGTTTCACACCTACTAGTCCTTACTCTTGCCCAGCAAAACATCCACTTCTCTTAACACGCACCTTTAGAAACTTTCATTTCCAGTTTTAGTGTTCTGTGGATTATTGTGATTTTCTGAGTCAACAGAGATGTGTCCAGACTTCTTCCACGAAGCACTCATCTCCACTTGCTGGGATGTAAATTGTCTCAGTGACATTTACTGTCCCGATGACAGAGAAGGCTCAAACACAGCCACATGCACGTGCAGCCCTGCCCAGACAGTACGACAGAATGACCCCCAGGAGCTGGAAGACAGGAGCCGGGTCGTGGTCCTGTGGAGAGTTGAGTCAGCCAGGGTTTAACTTTTGCCCAGTTGACATTTGGGTCCAATGTTCTTTGCTGTGGGGATGTTCTGTACATTACAGGATGTTTAGCAGCATCCCTGACCCTGCCCATTAGATGCCTGTGGCACCCCCCTCTTTCGTGACACTCAAGATGTCCCTTGGAGGGGCACCTGGGTGGCTCAGTCGGTTAAGCATTCAACTTCGACTCGGGTCATGATTTCATGGTTTGTGAGTTCGACCCCTGCATGGGGCTCTGCACTGACAGTGTGGAGCCTGCTCGGGGTTCTCTCTCTCGCCCTCTTTCTCTGCCCCTCCCCCCTCACACTTTCTCTCTTTCTCAAAATAAACAAATTTAAAAAACATCATATTTGTTAAAAAAAAAAAGATGTCCTTCGGGGGGGTAACATGGCTGCCACTTGGGAAACACTGGATTAGATGGGTCAGCTGTCAGCTAATTCTAGGACTATGGGCTAAGAGCTCACCCTCTTACACACACACACACACACACACACACACACACAAGCTCTGCGGTTCCACGGATAGGCTCTTCCTCTTTTGAAAGCTGCAGCCCCCTGCATCCTGTTTCCTTGCTAAGGGCTGGCAGCCAAGCACTCTGTCATGGGCCCCCACCCCGCACCCACTCCCAGCGGAAGCCCTGGAGAAGGGCTGAATGCGATTTCGGTGTATTGCAGCGCCCCCTGCCGGACGTGCCGAACAACCGCCTCCGCCCCCTGCTTGCGCTCAGGTGGACGGTTTTGGCCGCTGGAGCTGCCCCGGTTCTGCCCTCGACAGGCACTGCTTTGTTCGAGGCTCTGAACAGCACTTGAGGCCACGGGTTCAGGCGGCCCCCGGCTCTGCTCCCGTGCCTCTGTCCTTTGCCCCCGACAGCTGGGGCTTGCAGGGCCGAGCAGATTTTTGCAGCTTCTCGTAATAACAGGGTGCAGTTGGGCGCCAAGGGCCGTGGCCGCCTGGGTAGGAAATTCACATCTCTTGTCTGTTTTTTTTTTT